CACTTTATTCACTGCACTGCCACATTTTTCAACAAAACCAAAAAAGAAAAAACAACAAACAAGACAAAACATATCGCCCTTCTTGCTTATAACCTTGCAGTGATTTCCATTGTCTTTAGATTAAAACCCAAACTGAACCTACTTCACCTGGCTCTTTTGGTCATCATTCCAGGCACATCTTCTTCCTTCTCAGCTTAGCATCACCTCCCCATCACCTTCTGGACATGTTCTATAAATTATCCTGAAACTTCAGTTTCTTAAGTATGCCAAGCTTTGCTCTGCTTCCAGGACTTTGGACATTTTGTTTTCTTTTCTTGGGATATACTGCTTCCCCTCCACCCTCCTTTCCCCAGGTTAACAGCTGCTCATCTTTCTGGTTGTATTTTAGACTTCACTTTCTTTAAGAAATCTTCTCTTATATCCATTCCCCACGGTCTTCTTTGACTCACCTATACTAGGTTGGATATGCTGGAGTAAGTCTTTCCAAGCAATCTCTACTTCCCCATCATAGGTCCTACTATACTTTGGGGCAATTATGTAAGTGTCTGTTTAGTGAGCTCCAGGAAGGTGTGACTATAGCTGACTTGATCACTGTGTCTGGTGGGGCTGCACCTTGTGTTCAAGTTCAGTGCAGTGGTTAACAAATAATGGCAAGTTGAGCGAATGGTTCTGTTGTGCAGTTCACAGAGGCTAACAGAGGTGAGCTTAGATCAGAGCAGGAAGGCTGTCCCATTGGCCATAAGGAATGCCTGGCTTTGAGAGTCTGCATCCCCAAGAATGGGATCTCATACTTTGGAGTGTGTTGTGCCTACTTAACTGGACTCATTTACGTCAAATTAAGAAAAGTCTTGCTAATTCTATGAATTTATAAGCCATAAACCTAATTCATCTGTCTGCCCCCTTCCTTTCTGCCAGAAAAGGTAAGTGTGTAGGATTTCTGGTAAAAGCACTTGGCAAAAAGTAAGTACTGGACAAATATTCAATGGGTGACAAAAGGAAGAAAATATGGGGTTAGCTGGGTTTTTGTAGCTTCACAGAGTCGAGGGTGGAAGGCAGAACGCATGGGGAGGGCAGGAGGGGCAGTCCTCCAGGGAAGAAAGGAGCAGGATTCCCACGGACCCTGCACTAGGCACTCACATGTGGAACTGACCAGGCTCCAGAGGAGCCCCATGTGAAATAAAACCAATTAGGA